AATTACTGAATCATGACAGCCGAATGTCTAAGGGCTTTCAAGTCTTATTGATAAGCGCTATAAATAGCATGTATCCAATCAAACCGTGTTCAATCGTGTGCAAAGTAACGACGAAAGTAACTGTAAATTTCGTTACCGTTACCCAAAAAATGTAACTCGTTACCGTTACAGTTACCAAAAAAAGAAAGTAACGCAGTTACCAGTAAAGTTACCAAAAAAGTAACTTGTAACTGTAACTTCGTTACAAGTAACGAGTTACTTCCATTCCCTGCAAATCATATTAAAGAATCTCTAAGCGCTGATTAGTTTTCTTTGCTGAATGTATTCTATAGGAAGACCCCGTTAGCCTACAACCCCGATTACATACACCATTCACATTGGCCGGTGCATAATAACTTTTCTCTGCTTTACCAATGAGGTTATATTATATTTTTAAATTGGCCAATCAACGAGCAATGCGTGCAATCGGGATTGTAGGCAATGGCCTAGTTTACATCGTGCAATTGATACGAGTACTAACCAGTAACTTTCTATTGGATTATCTTAATTTCAGCGTTATTTGTAAACATATACATGATATGTGTATTTAATTAATTATTTTGATGCATATTTTACTAATTTAACACGTTATTCTTTAAATACATTGCTGAAATTAAGATTATTTAATAGAAAATTACTAGTTAATACGTGTATCAAATGCTCGGTGTAAAAGGGGTACTGAGCGCAGCTACTCGAAATCTCTATATTCTATCTAATCAACGTATTCTTCTAGATTTAAATTTCTGATTGGATAATCTGGAAGAATACACCAATAGCAGCGAATGCTTAATTATTGAGCTTGCCAAACGCGCCCATTGGTTGCGTTCAGCAGAAAAAGCAGCTTTGCAACTGTTGTAAAATTCTTGAATATGATTGGTTCATACATTTAGATTCAATAAGGAACTAAAAGCAAGACCAATCATATTAATGAATTTTGCAACAGCCGCAAAGCTGTTTTTTCTGCTGAACGCAACCATTGGCTGCATTTAGCAGAGAAAGAAAGTAGCTTTGCAAACTGTAAAATCCTTAACATGATTGGTTTAGATCCAGTGAGAAATTAAGGGAAAAACTAATCATATTAAAAACTTCACAGTTGCAAAGCTGCTTTCTTCGCTGATTTTAAAATACTTTTTCATGCTCGACGATCATTTTTAACATCAAAATGGATCACATGATTGAAATTGCCGCTTGATATCAATTTTCAAAAACCATATGACTGTATCTTTATCTTTGTTTAATATTTAATGAACAACAAAGAAAAATAATCTGGATGCACCCAGATAAATTTTATGAACGGAGCCTTTAGGTTTGTTTTTTTTTTTTTTAGCTGAACACAATTTAATGTACGCTCTTTGTATTTAAAGTGAAATAAATATATGTTTAATTTTGGCAAAGAGTAAGAAAGATTTAGTAAAGTTGTCTTAGTGTAACAATGAAAAACAAACTCTGTTCTTTGTCATTGGACTCGAATAGAATAGTCTAGTGCTCGTTACTACTAAACTAATAGATTAGCTTTAATCATGGTTTACTTTTTATCTTCTTCTAGTTAAAAAAATTAGAAAAGGATAAAGAGTAAATTAAATTGAGATTAAAGATTTTTATACAGTTTTACCTACATTAATAGAAATAGGATATATAGGTCGATTCTTTCTCTCTACCACTCGCATCGTGTGTTTGGACAAGGCCAATGTGAACACGGCGTTATATTGTCATATCGATGTCATGTCAGTTTACGATATATCATGATATCCTTGACGTTTGAGTGTTTCTACTTTTAATTAAATATTTAATTACCCGTTATTGCAGAACTCGGACTACATTGATGTCTATATTCTCAGAGGATTATTTTTTACTCAGAACAATGATTTTTTTAACTAAATCGTGTATTTCGAGATCTAAAGTTAGTGCAAATATGAGATAATAGTTTAAATTCTTCCAGTTATCTTCACAGATATTAGATATAGACCAATATAGACAATTGTTTACGACGTGCTTTCGACTATCTCTTTCTACAAGGATTGTTATATCTATATGAAAAGTCAACATCATATTTCCTGACAAAGTGCAATATATTTTATATGGTGAAACACAATATTCTCAAAAATGGAAAATGATAATCCTGTTATATATGGACTCGAATTTCAAGTATGAATATATTACAAGTTAATTATGAATTTTAAATAAACTAGTATATTTTTTATTTTTTTATTTTATGCTATTATCAAATAACATTGTCTATTATTAGCTATTGCGCTATTTTAATATTTATTATATATTGCGATTTAAATGTTAAAATTTTGATAAAATGTATTTGAGAATATATATAATAATTTTAATGTTGTCTTATGTTTTAGACTAGAGCACTGTCAGCTCAAACAGCTGAGACAGATATTGTGAGATTCTTGGTAGGAACGCAATCTTTAAAATTCAGCAACAACCAGGTTCATTTAGTAGAACTTGATGAGGAAACAGGAAATTTAAAAACACAAGTGTTCCAGCATCCAATAGGAGAAATTTGGTCTTTACAGGCTTCTCCAACTAAACCTGATGTATTTATTACATGTTACAATAGTTTAAGTGGTAAATAAGCCTTACATCACACACACATATATATATATATATTCAATTTCTTAAAATAATATTTTATTATTTAAACTGAAATCATTTATCATTAGATATTAATTATTAATTTTAATAATTCATATTAGTCATTATATTAGTTTTAGTATTAATAATTATACTATATTATTTATTTTATTGAAAAAAACAAAATGAAGAATACAAACTCATTTATTATCACACACATTAAAATGTCTTGAATTAATTATTAACTCAGATTTTAATCTTATCAATTATTGTAACATAAAATTTAATATTAATTTTTGTAACATTGAAAATGACCTGATCGAAGTCGAAACATATGTTTCGTTTATGTAATTTTTATATTATGATTATTTAAATTAAAACCGTTTTTACATTATTAGCTCTTTGCCCTTATTATATCTATATTGTTTTATACTTACAAAGCCTTATATTATTTTTAATTATATTTCATGACAAAATATGTCTCTTGAAAGAACTCTTATTTTTCTAGAGGAAGGTACCTGCCAGATGAAAGGAGCAGTGTGGAGATTCCCTGAGATAAAAGAGTACACTAATGATATTTTGCAACTCGATAAACTAGCTGATATTGATACGACTCCACATGGCACTGATCTTAAAACTATTGCCTATCACCCTATGGATAGCAAGAAAGTAGTTTCAGTAGTAGATAATAATTTTGTTTTGTGGGATTTAACTGAAGGACCACAGGTTATTGATCTTTATTCTTTTATCCAATCAAGATTACATTATACTATCCTATTGTTTTAAAAACTGCCTTTTTAATAATCTTTTATACATTTAGGTTACAGTAACAGGTACCTTAGCAGGTAAGGGTCAGCCACGATTTACGAATGGTAAATGGAATCCTCATAATGGTGCTAATCAGTTTGTAACCTTGAATGACAACAATGTTCGTGGATGGGATTTTAGAAGTCCGGCCAATGCTGCTTGGTCTATTTTATCTGCACATTCGCAAATTATTAGGTAATAATGGTGATAACATAAAGATTGATTTTTGATAGAATCAAAGTCATAATATTTTTATCGTGTAACTTGTTTAGGGATTTAGATTTTAATGCAAATCGTCAATATTTGCTATCTACTTGTGGTGATGATGGTTACATGAAGTTTTGGGATATCCGACTTCCCACGGAACCAGTGTTGTCACGTATGGAACATTCACACTGGGTGTGGAACATAAGGATTAATCGGTTTCACGATCAGCTTGTTTTAACGTCTAGTAGTGATTCCAGAGTGATATTAAGCAGTATTGCATCCATATCATCTGAACCGTTTGGTCATTTGGTGTCAGACGAACCTTTGCAAAGCGAAGAATCTTGCGGAAAAAAGAAGTAAATGAATATATTAGTTTGATGCAAAAATAATATCAAATTTTACTTGTCTGATTTGATTAAAATGACAAATTATTGATTGATCAAAAACTGTTAATTGATTACTTCATGTATAATCATTTGAATGGTTTTTAATAGATCCGCTTCAATAATTGTCTTCAAAATCATTTTCAATGAATGCAAATTATCTCCTTTTCATTTTCAATACTGTCACCTTCGTGAAATTTTTGAAACCATTATTACATTGTCTGTTCGTTTGTAATTTCCTAGCCAAATATTTCATTAATTCTTCGACTTATTTCTGCTGTTTTAAAACCTAGTTTGAATTTTTATTCTAAATATAGAGAATTGCTTTTTTTTATACGTAATAATAATAATGATAATAAATGATCCTAAAGTTAACATTGAACAAAATTATAATAGCAAATTAACAAAGTAGAATCTGCGCTCAAAAATAATACAACATGAACACAATCGAACGTATCCTTATTGTAGAATAAAGCTCCTAAAGTTTAAAATAGTAAAAACTGACATTATTTTTGCATCAATCTAACATTAATCTAATAATCTATTAATCTACAGCTCTTAGTCAATTCTTACATAAAGTATCAAATTTTATTTTTATAATATTTTAGACTAGAAGATGGTCTGGTAGGAAGATACGAGGAGCACGAAGATAGTGTGTATGCAGTGGAATGGTCGTCTGCTGACCCTTGGACTTTCGCATCTCTCAGTTATGATGGTAGATTGGTTCTGAATAAAGTACCGCGTAAATACAAATACCAAATACTTCTGTAAATACATATATATATTTCGTGAAAAATAATGTTACGCATCTTACATAATTTTATTATAAGTTTAATTTTTCTATGCAAAATGATATCATATACAAAAAATATGAAGTGTACATAGATGTATACATAATGCCAAACATAATTTTATTACTATCAATAATATATATACACGTATATATGTACAAATAGAATATGTAGATATATATTCCATTTAGAATTGTTCCGATATCTTGCTAGCTATGTTTCTTAATTGTCCATAAACCTTGGAAGGAGGACTTCCTAAGATTAAATTACATATCGCTCTACGAGCTAATTGTATATTCTGAAAAGAACCGAGGATGTGTATTTTTGTATCGGCTATCACAATTCTGGTTTTTGTTACGTTCTCGATGGTAAACTTTGTTCTTCCACCTTTGCCAGCTAATCTTCCAATTGCTCTAGACTGGTGATCCCCTTTCATTTGTTGCTTGACATCTTGTATCTCGAAAGATTCCACAAAGAGATCATCCAGACGTAACAAAGCCAAAGCGTCCTCCACCTCGAATCCACAAATGAATGCTTTCACGAAGTCTGCCGCTTTTTGGAGGTACGAAATATCTGGGGTTTCTGGTGCCGTTCTAATTTCCACATTTCTGGTTTTTACATTGAAACGTACTTGCAATTTCAGATGTTCGGTGATGGGTGTAAATATTTTTATCCAGTTTTCTTTTAAAGGTGAATATCTGTGCGCTGGTACTGATATCTAGAATCACATTTGTTCAAATGAAGTTTACATATGAATTATTTTTTACATTTAAAAACAATTTTTGTCTTTTAAAAAATCAGAACTGTACTTAATTTAAAAAAAAACTTTAAATTATGTCTTCTATGACTTAATCTTGCTATTACATATTATATTTTATTGCATATCATATTACCTTTCTTTGTTCTCCACCTTGTACATTCTTGGCTTTCTTTTTGGCTGAATACTGTCTTGCCTTTCCCTTTATTCCATTAACTGTCTCTACCTAAAGGACAAAAAATATTCATTATTTTTCAAATAAAGCACTTATATAATGACTTTCAAAGTTAAACATATTAGAAAAAAAAAAGTAAGGCAAACAAGATTACAACGTGATACTTAATGTACAGATTAAAACATAGAGAATTCATAAAAAATTAAACATAAATATATTTAGCTTACTTTAAAGTTCATGATTTCTTTTTATTAGTACAAATTGTACAAGTACATATGATAAATAAAGTGTCAACCAACTGTTATGTTCTTTATGGAAAACAATTACTCTCTGTTTAGCAGAAAACAGCTTTGCACACGCGTGCGCATACATATAATTATCGAAAGATTTTTTAATGATTGATTCTTATCCTTAATTTTACATAATTTATAATTAAACTGATAGTTTTGTAGTTATCACTTTTAAAGTTATTACAAAACCATTAGTTTAATGCTAAAAAAAAATATCTTATATTATCACACAAAGTGAGGTTAAGCCTAAATCACGAGTCTAAGGTTAAGTTTAAACCACGTGATAACTAGAAAATGGAAAATACTGCTTTTTCGTTACTGTTATTTTATCATATATAATAATAAATGTACAACGACAATCTCATTAATAATTGCAGAATACAGACATAACTGTTGGAAAGTCATTGATAATGTATGTAACTACACACATGGGAACGATATAATTTTATTTTCATAACTGAAAATTTCTGCAATATTACAACACGTTGAAATGATGCTGAAATATTGCTTGAATGTTACATACTATTTGGAGTATTTAGATTTGTCTATTATGCGTTTTTATCCGCATAATGTAACCACAAAAATAAATTAAAAAATAACAATTTTAGTAGGTATTCTTTTATAAAATATAATTATTTTAAAAAAAATTGGTTTTTAATTTCAGAATAATACTAAGTGTGTAATTTAACACAATACCTCCATCATGCAATCATCGTTAACTTGACGTTTTTTGGCTGTTTTCTCCATTTCAATTTCTCTTGCTGGAACCTGGAGCCAGTGATGCGATTTCCAACCCGTTTGCACTTTCGATGGTAGCGGCATGTATCATGGGTAGCGGCAGCCTGACGCAACCGGTAGCACACACAAACATGATCTGTGCACACAGCAAGCAAAGCTCGTGTATACGTGCGTGTGTCTCTTTTGTAGTAGGAGCGCGTCGACCATATATGTAATATGGCGTCGACCATCGCGCTGTCCTTGTCTCTCTTAATAGTTCCTCCTTGTTCGCCTTCGACGCGCTAAGAGCGAACGAGACAGCGAGAGAGAATCTGAGAGAGAGAGAGAGAGAGAGAGAGAGAGAGAGAGAGAGAAGAATCCTTCTCGCTGAACTCCATGACGCACAGAAAAACGTAAGGCCGTAAATGTAATCAGTAAGCGTTTTGGCCAATCACAGTAGAGACCGTAAGGCCGGTAGTGAATCCAATGTTAAGGTTGATTTATACTGGCCGTAAACTGTTAACTTATGCCGTAATCTGTAAAAATTGACCAATCACAGTCGAATGAGAGGGGAATAATCGATTATAATTGGTCAATTTTTACAGATTACGGCCAGTATAATCCAACCTTTAAGCGGGGAGCACAGACTTTTGCATAAAGCATGTGCATAAGAAATTTCATTGGCCCATTTTCTTATGCATGAGTCAGTGGACCAATCAAATTCTTTATGTATATGGTTTATGCGTTATGCAAAAGTCTGTGCTCCCCGCTTTACGATTTCCTTAGGCCTATAGCACATGAAATGCATAACTGTGCATAAGCATAACATAAGGCCGCTGGACCAATGAGCATCCAGCATAAAGACGCCATATTGATTAACATAAGATGCTCATTGGTCCAGCAGCATTATGTTATGCTTATGCACAGTTATGCATTTCATGTGCGATAGGCCTAAGGCCGTAAATGTAATCAGTAAGCGTTTTGGCCAATCACAATAGAGACCGTAAGGCCGGTAGCGAATCCAATGTTACGATTTCCCTACTAAAGCCTATGGCACACAGAAAAACGTAAGGCCGTAAACATAATTAGTAAGCGAATTGACCAATCACAGTTGAGACGTAGCAGCGACTGCTTACGTTCTTAACTGTGATTGGTCAATTCGCTTACTGATTACGTTTACGGCCTTACGTTTTTCTATGTGCCATGGGCTTAATACGTCTTACGGCTTACGTTTTTCTATGTGTTTCTGGCTTAAAGCCCGATCTACAATTGCGTAAACGTAGTTGTAGTTGTAAGAATTGACACTAATCACAGTTGAATACGAGGAGAATATTCGACTGTCATTGGTCAATTCTTATAACTACAACCACTTACAACTACGTTTACGCAATTGTAGATCGGGCTTAACGGTTGTTACGGATACGTCATATACCTCGTAGCGGATGGTGGAGGTTTTTTTTTCCGCTGAACTTGACTTTTTTCGCTTTACTGCTCTGTCCAGCTGTTTATATCTTTTCCTTATACCATTATTAATGGATAAAAAGAGATAATTTACTTACAATTAGCTGACATTTAGGAAGTTTCAATGGAAATGAATTTTTGTAATAAAGTTATGTAGGTGCACATATATAATCGAGAAGATAATCATAATAATTATGTTGTATAATTATGTATAAATTTTGCAATTTTTTTTGCTGAACACTTGTTACTCGACTAGAATGTATTTTTAAGGATAACACCTAAATTTTATAAAATAATATATGTGAATAATCATTACGTTTTCGTTAACAGAATTGCGAAATAGAGACTAAATTCATCGATTTTTGATAACATCTCTGAAAGGTTAACAGGTCCGTTCGTAGATCATCCGCGTAGATCATTTTAGATTATCATGAATAATTCTCGCGATGCTTGCTTATACAAAGAACTTGCTATTCACAAAATTGTTTTACTTCGATACGGCATGTTTTTCAATTATAAAAAATCATAAGACGCAAAAAAGTCTTGTCAATATGCTTCCTCCTTCGATTGAATGTCACCGTCCAAGGGAGATGGCTGACATATGGAATTAATATACAATATAAACGTATGTGTGTGTGTGTATATAAATGTGTATGTGATTAGAACGAAATTACTTTGAATGTGAATAAAAATTAATTCAGATCAAAAAATGCGTTGTCTTAATACAATTTTCATTTGTCTGAAAATAAAAGAATTTATGATTTGATTTTTTACGCATTGCGAATATAAAATAATAAATTTTAATTAAAAAATATTTCACACAAAAAAGTAAAATTGAATTTTCTATTATATATAACGAATAATAATTTTAATAATAAATAATAACTTTCTATTATTTCATAGCAAGTCGTGATTGTTATAATTTTTAATGCGGCAATTATGCTTTCAATAGATTATCTAGAAATGTTGATTAAAATAAATGTTGCATAAACAAGCTGCGATATATGATCATATTTGAAGATAAAATAAAAATAATATAAAATATTACATATAAGGCTATGTTCAGATTCCCACCCGAGTGCCACTCAGGTATCCTTCTATCCTTATTGTTTGCCAAATGTTAAACAAGGATGACATGACACCCAGGGAGTACTCGGGTGGGAATCTGAACACGCCGTAAATTATGCTTGCGTTAAGTAGTGCGTAATAGAACATGGCGAATCGTTCGATGAAAATGGGTAGAATATAAATATAAAACAAGCAAACGCATTTTTTTATAACACATTTTTCATTGTCTTATAAGTCTATGGTAATTAATAATTAATAACAAGAAAAAAACCTTTTTCATCAATGTGTCTACAATAATTATTAAAAGATACAATTAGCAAATTACTATGTTGTGTATTCACTTTGTGTAATAATAGGTAATAATATAATTGTAATATTTTCTCCATATAATCATAGCGCGATATCTCTCACTTATATATAGATTTATCCACTTGGATTATTATCAATCGTTTACTTCCTTTTTACTGCTATTTATATATCGTATAACCAAATACTAAAAATACAAATGTTTTGCATATAGCAGGTTTTAAAGTCATCAAACCACAATCCCAATCTGGTGATCTTAAAACGCACATCCATATACATAATATAATATTTTTTGCGGATTTGCCTACAAAATTAAGGAGCTCGTCAAGCGCGGGACTGTATAGTTTTATGCATATATACATATATATAATATATATATATATATAAAAACAGATGTAAAAGATCGTTTGTTATTCGGCATTAATTATTGTAGATTGCGCGTAGATGGTAGCATGTAGACTTTACATCGTTAAACGAACCACAAAATATCAACATCAATTATTTATTGAGCTTCTCACACGTACACCTGCTTCTCCAAATTACTGATGGTTGTACCGATAGTCATCTCGCATCGTCACTCGGCATCTTCTGATCTTTGGCGCATTATTTAATCGCTCAGCTTTACATTACATGCATACATATGTGATTATACGGCAGAGATACTTTAGAAGCTCCTTAATTATGCGAGCATGCTAAATGTCCGCTTATACTTAAGATATATCTGTATTTACACAAAGAGCTTACTTTTTGTTTATAATCTATACAATCATATAAATGTAATATTCAATGATAAAATTGTAACATAATAATGCCTAGCCTATCTATCTAATGCGAAAGAGAATATTTTTTACATCGAAATTACAATCCTTCCACTATTCCTGTATATTCTGCAATTAAATTATTATATATATTACACATGATCCTATTTGCATTACAGGATACGGATGAAATCAAGTCGTGTACCCATTTCTTTGTATTTTTATATACATTCAGGTGTGTGATCTCCCATCCGAGTAAAATAAGCATGCTATTATATACAATGTGACCCAGTGTGTGTATATATGTGTTGTTTTTTGTCTCTACAATAAAAGTAAAATATAATAAACAAGCAATATTCTAACTAAATAATTTAAATCGATATTAAAAATAGGAACAAATTCAACGAAACTACAACCCAATAAGCAGTCTCTGTCTCTCTTAATTTTTTTGGGATATAGATCGGTGAAATTCTTTCCTATTTTAAATATTATTAAATTCAGTATTTAATCTTATTGTGAGAAAAGCATTTTTATTAAAGTGTCGCCTGGTAGCCATCGAGCCTTTGGGAAAAATATCAGAAAATTTTTTTATGCACACACTATATAGTTGAGCACTGCACTTATCGTATTTTGTACATTCTATGTCTATATATTATAATGATCGTTACAACAAACTTTCTCATGTAATAAAGGTTTACTTGGTCTGTGTGATGAGAAATCGGAGATTTATACAAAATTATCTATGGCCGATATTTATAGTCCATTCATATTTAGTTATTTTCAGACAGTCTTAAGTAATGTCTTAAAATGCTAATATACAGTCTTCTGATTGGCTTATGACATCATAAGATTTTACTTAAGACAGTTTTAAATATAAGAATCGATTAAATACCGCTCTATGTTCTCAGAAACAAGATTATAATCACATTTTAATTTTTAACGGTATACATGGTATAATTCATGATCACAATTGTAGACAAACTCTAAGTAGAACGTATTTATCTGTACTGTTGTCATAGAAAGTTGTGTATAGAACGTTTAACACACATATAACATTTACAGAAAATTAAAGGATATTTGTAGGAACGTAGCAAAGATAAATAATTATTGAGAAATTATTAATATAATATATATATGTATACATATATATTATATTGTATAAATGTATATATATTATATAATGTATATATGTAATATACATATTACATAATTATAATATACATATATATATATATTACATATACATTATATTACATACATATATATATATATATATATAATTATTAATTAATAATCCAGGAATATTATTTACTAAATAACATTTTAAATTTGATTTGTCGCGTGAAAAGGATATCTATAATCAGAACTGGATAAGAAATGCATATTTTCATGTAAAATTTGAATAGTGCTACGTGATGACTACTGCAGGCTTAGCTAGAACTTTAAAGATTCTCAACTGTGTGTAAGTTACATTTATACAATATAAAACTAGATTATCTGTTCACAAAAACAATAATCGATA